CTGGCCAAAATGGTGAAACCCTGTCTCTACTAAAAATGCAAAAATTAGCCAGGTGTGGTGGTGGGCGCCTGTGATCCTAGCTATTTGGGAGGCTGAGGCAGGAGAATCACTTGAACCCAGGGGGCAGAGGTTGCAGTGAGCCAAGATCGTGCCACTGCACTTAGAGTGAGTGACAGAGCAAGGCTCCATCTCAACAAAAAAAAAAAGAAAGAAAGAAAGAAAGAAAGAGAGAGAGAGAGAAAGAAAATGATAATATCCAGGGTTCAGGTACCAGAGAGAACAATGGGCATTATCAAACAAGGTTGGGACTGAATTGCTAAATGTTGCTGGGGCAACTGGCAAGTTTCTTTGAAACCTATATATCTGTAGCCCAGGATGCTGCATTTAGAGTGCTAGAGGGTTACATACAAGGAGACTCAGTAAGTGCACAAAGTAAACTGTAGGACTTTTTATCATTCCTCTTCTGGTACAGGTCTGGAAAATCAATTACAGATTTCCCATTCATTCTGTCTGTATCCTGGCAATGATACAGACAGAGTGAATGGGAAATCTGTAAGTTGACCTATGTCTCTCAAGATCTACAGCAACTTCTCACCCATACCCTTCAGCTGCTCAGTGCCACCCTTCTCCCTGGAATCATTGGTCATGAGATTGAGATTACATATGTTTGATGTCGTAGGAGGCAGTGACCTTCAAGGATGTGGCTGTGGTTTTCACTGAGGAGGAGCTGGGGCTGCTGGGCCCTGCCCAGAGGAAGCTGTACCGAGATGTGATGCTGGAGAACTTCAGGAACCTGCTGTCAGTGGGTGAGCACAGACACCCTCTGTAATGGAACATCAGGCCCCAAGAGTGGCTTTGTATCCTAGAGTGTTTGTATTAATTTGTTCTTATGCTGCTATGAAGAAATACTCAAGATGGGATAATTTATAAAGAAAAGACATTTCATTGACTCACAGTTTCACATGGCTGGGAAGGCCTCAGGAAACTTAAAGTCATGGTCAAAAGAGAAGGGGAAGGAAGGCATCTTTTTCACAGTGCGGCAGGAAGAAGTGCTGAACAAAGTGCGAAAGGCCCCTTGTAAAACCATCAGATCTTGTGAGAACTCACCCAGTATTATGAGAACAGCATGGAGGAAACTCCTCCCATGATTCAGTTATCTCCCACCAGGACATACGGGGATTATGGGAACTACAATTCAAGATGAGATTTGGGTGGGGACACAGCCAAACCATATCAGTGTTCAAGTTTGAGTATGCAGTGAGAACCTAAATTTCTACTAAATTTTACCTAGGATGTATTGGGATTAAGCATGTGACTTTGTTCACAGGGCATCAACCTTTCCACGGAGACACTTTTCACCTCCAAAGAGAAGAAAAGTTTTGGATGATGGAGACAGCAACCCAAAGAGAAGGGAATTCAGGTAGGAACCAAGCAACCATGCATCCTTGTATGTCCTTGTATACGACTCCCCCATCGGTTTTACTTCTGTCCATTGCCCAACTCCATTGCCCTGGTGCAAATGGCCAAACCTGTTTCCTGGATTATTACAACCTCCTTCCTGCTGGTTGTCCTGCTCCCCCCACCCCTCTTTCCACCCTAACATCCGTTTTCCTCATAGCAGCCAAAGTGATCCTTAGGAAATGTAAGTCAAATTGCCATTCCTCAGCTTAAAAGCCTTTAACTTCTTATTTGTGTTAAAGTTACAATTGCTTTCAGTGCCTTTTAGAGACCCTGGATCTGCTCTTCATCCCCCACTGCCTCTCTGATGACATCTCCTGTGCTTTCCCTCTTGCTTCATCTTTTCCAGCCCTGTTGTCCTCCCTGCTGTTTCTCATCCTGCCAAGGACACTGTATCACCTGTTGCTGGTACCCAGTGACCACAAACTTAGCAGATTAAACAACAAACATTTATCTTTGTGTTCTTCAGATATGAAGTCTGACACATCTCACTGGACAAAAATCAAGGTGTCCCTAGGGCTTTGTTCCTTTCTGGATGTTCATGGGGAAAAGCCTTCACTTTCGTTTACCAGTCCCTGGGCACTGTCCACACTCCTTGGCTTTTGTTTCCCTTCCTCCATCTTCAAAGGCAGCTCCATTGCATCCCTGACCATTCTTTCATAGTCATGCCACCATTCTTCTTAAGCCTCTGTTTTCCACCTTTCAGGTCCCTTGTGATCGGACTGGTCACTCCCACATAATCTAGAATGACTTTCCTACTTTCTGTTTAGCTGACTAGTGACCTTAATTGCATCTGCAACCATAATCTCTCTTGCTGTGTAACATAACAGGTTCATAGGTCCCGGAAGTCGGATGTGGACATCTTTCAGGAACCATTGTTCTGTCTACTACAGAAGCTTCTGTCTTAGAGTTTATACATGCTCTTCTTTCTGATTGGAATATGCTTTCACCTCAAAACCTTCTGACCCTTCCTTTATTCTAGTCTCTGTTCGGTTTTAATATCATGAGAAAGGCCTTCTTTGACCACTCTATTTAAAATACCAGCTGGGCATGGTGGCTTCACACCTGTAATCTCAGGACTTTGGGAGGCTGAGGCAGGCAGATAGCTTGAGGCCAGGAGTTCCAGACCAGCCTGGCCAGCATGGTGAAACTCTGACTCTACTAAAAATACAAAAATTAGCTGGGTGTGGTGGCACAGTCCTGTAATCCCAGCTACTCAGGTGTCTGAGGCACAAGAATCGTTTGAACCCAGGAGGCAGAGGTTGCAGTGAGCTGGGATTGTGCCACTATACTCTAGCCTGGGTGACAGAGTGAGACTGTGTCTCAAAAATAAATCAATAAATCAATACTAGAATGGAATACTATCCTGCCTTTACCCTTCTGGTGTTGTCTTGTACTGTGTCTCATATATTTCTATTTACCTATTATCTCTACCCCCTGGAACAGAATGTCTAGGAGGAGGACTTCTACCTGCTCAATTTTTATTTTAGATTCAGGAGGTACATGTGCAGGTTTGTTATCTGGGTATATTGTGTGATGCTGAGGTTTGCGTTGTGAATGATCCCGTCACCCAGGTACGGGGCACAGTACCCAGTAGTGGTGGCAGGATAACCCTCAGGTTTCCAGGCTGTGTGCACTGGTATTAGAGGTAGTGGTGATGGGCCGGCTAGGCCAGTCCTGAGACCCCCACATGGTGTGTGCAGGTGAGTGTCAGCAGTGGTGGTGGCAGCAGGTTCGTAGGACCTACCCTCAGGTCATTAGGAGGAGCGCACAGATGCCAGTGGTGGTGATCAGGGCAGGGAAATCCTTAGGCCTCTGGACAGCATGCTTAGGCACCTGTGGCAGGGTTCCAGGTCTGTTGTAAGGCTCTCTCCATGGTGCATGCTCATGCCTGGGGTGACTGACACGGCAGGTGATCTCAACAGCCCCAAGTGGTATGCTTGGGTAGTGGAGGAATGACACCAGGCCAAGTGAGCCTGTCCTCAGGCCTTTCAGTGGTGCAGGCAGATGCAGGCTGTGGTGGAAGAGGTGGCATGATCCCTTGGTCCCCAGATGGCATGCTCCGGCACTGGTGGCACACAGCTAGGCCGTCATCAGTTCTCTTGTTTGTGCACATATATGCCTGCGGCAACACAGGGCAGAGCAATCCCCAGGTCCCTCTGTGTCATGCTTTGGCACTGAGATGGGCAGCACCAAATGAAGTCCTGAGGTCTGCATGGGCACAGGTTGTGGTAGGCAGTGCAGGGGATTCCCCAAGCATCTAGATGGTGTGCTTGGGTGGCAGTGGCAGAGTGTGCAGAGAGCCTTTCCTTAGTATGAGAACACATACAAGTGTACAGTGGGCCTGCTGCTGGGGGATGGGCTAGCATTGCCGTCAGAGGCAGCAGCCCCAGAGAGGCAGCTTTCAGGCTCTGGTGAGTGCACACTTTGGGTCCTTTTGTACTGTACTGGGGACAGCCTCCCTGGTGTGCTGCACTGCCCATTCCCCAGAGTGTAGGACAATATGTGGCCTAGATTGCTGGGAACTCTGCCATACTGCTGGGTCTAACAGGCATTCCGCTATTGCAACCTTCCAGGTGGATGTGTGTGGGGGCATGTCGTTGGGGCTCCAGGGAGTTGGAGATGCAAGAGTTATTGGGCCCCAGGGCAAGATGCAGTCTGGTGGGGGTGCAGACCACAAAATAACGCTGGGCCATAGCTTATGAGTCTCATGAGCACCCTCTCTGGAGCGGTGCCATTGCACATAGTCCAGATAGCCCCCTATACTAGTCTCAGGGCCCACAGGGGTCAAGGGGCTCTGTCATGGCTGATTGCTGGAGTCCACAGTGGAAAGGGAAACCACTAGGGATCTCTCACTTACCCTTTCCCAACACTGAGGAGCCTTTCGGGCTTTCAGGTCGTCACGGCCAGAAGGGCTCCATCACTTTACTCTCCTTTTGTGCTTCAGGTGTTTCCAGTCACTTCCCTACTTTATTCCAGTGATCCCTCTTAGATGCAATTTGATGTATGATTATTTGCTTTTTAAATTTTTTATTTAAAAACATATAGAATACTTCATGAATTCACATATCAGCCTGTGCAGAGGCTGGTCATTCCAATTTTACCATATGTGCTGCTGAAGTGAGCACTACTCATTATTTTGGCTCTTTGTGGAGGAGGCAAGCTTTAGGTGTCTTTAGTCAGCCATCTTGAAGTCTCCCTACCCTTAAAGTTCCTATTGAGTCACCATGTATATAATTTATTAGTTACATAATATACCATGTAAGATTTTAGACTAACTAGGAAATTGGTAGAAATAGTAACAAGTTAACTGTATACATTATATTAATATTTTAAACTAAGTCTTTCATTTCTACCATGTATGAGACATTATGTGGTTCCAAATTGGTTTCATGAAAACAAGAGATTGTGGCGCACTTAGAAAACACAAACTGCACCTTCCTTGTGTTCAGTAAAGTTTCAGGCCATGTCCTAAGTGAAATCCTGAAGACACTGAACAAAGGCTTCACTTATCCACATCTCTTCATTCTGTCTCCTTACAGGAGGCAAGATCCAAACTGAGTTGGAATCTGTTCCAGAAACAGGACCACATGAAGAGTGGTCTTGCCAGCAAATCTGGGAACAAATTGCAAGTAACTTAACTAGGCCTCAAGACTTCGTGATAAGAAGCTCTCAGTTCTATACACAAGGTGATATCCCCTCCCAGGTTGATGCAGGACTATCTATAATTCACATAGGACAGACACCTTCTGAGGATGGGAAGTGTAAAAAATCCTTCAGTGATGTCTCCATCCTTGATCTTCATCAACAATTACACTCAGGAAAGATGTCCCATACAGGTAATGAGTACAAGAAGAGCTTCTGTTATAGCTCAGCTCTTCATATTCATCAGAGAGTTCACATGGGAGAGAAACTCTATAAGTGTGATGTGTGTGGTAAGGAATTTAGTCGGCGCTCATATCTGCAAACTCATCAGAGAATCCACACTGGAGAAAAACCATTCAAATGTGAGCAGTGTGGGAAAGCCTTCAGCCGTAGATCAGGAATTTATGTTCATTGCAAATTACACACAGGAGAAAAACTTCATATTTGTGAGGAATGTGGGAAGGCTTTCACTCACAATTCCCAGCTTCAGGAACATCAAAGAATCCATACTGGGGAGAAACCATTTCAATGTTATATATGTGGTAAGAGCTTCCGTAGTAGAGCAAATCTTAATAGGCATTCCATGGTCCACATGCAAGAGAAGTCATTTAGATGTGATATCTGTAGTAATAGCTTTGGTCCAAGACCAGCACTTAATCGTCATTGCATGGTCCACACAGGAGAGAAACTATACAAATGTGAAAAGTGTGGAAGGAGCTTCATTTGTAGGCAAGGTCTTTCAAGACATCAGCGGGTCCACAATGAAGAAACAACATTCAAATGTNGCATTCCATGGTCCACATGCAAGAGAAGTCATTTAGATGTGATATCTGTAGTAATAGCTTTGGTCCAAGACCAGCACTTAATCGTCATTGCATGGACCATACAGGAGACAAACCATATAATTGTAATGTATGTGGGAAGAGCTTCAAGTGGTCCTCATGTCTTTCAAGACATCAGCGGGTCCACAATGAAGAAACAACATTCAAATGTGACAGATGTGGGAAGAAATTTTATATGAATTCACAGGGCCATTCACATCAGAGAGCCCACAGAGAAGAAAAACTGTATAAATGTCAGAAGTGTGGGAAGGGCTACATTAGTAAGTTTAATCTCGACTTGCACCAGAGGGTCCACACAGGAGAGAGACCTTATAATTGTAAGGAATGTGGGAAGAGCTTTAGGTGGGCCTCAGGTATTTTGAGACATAAGAGACTCCATACTGGAGAAAAACCATTTGAATGTGAAGAGTGTGGGAAGAGGTTTACTGAGAACTCAAAACTTCGTTTCCATCAAAGAATTCACACTGGAGAAAAGCCATACAAATGTGAGGAGTGTGGAAAGGGCTTCAGATGGGCCTCAACTCATCTAACCCATCAGAGACTCCACAGCAGAGAAAAACTCCTCCAATGTGAGGACTGTGGGAAGAGCAGTGAGCACAGTTCATGCCTTCAAGACCAACAAAGAGACCACAGTGGAGAAAAAACATCCAAATGTGAGGACTGTGGGAAGCGCTACAAGAGGCGCTTGAATCTAGATATGATTTTATCGTTATTTTTAAATGATATATAATTATTGTCCATATTTATGGGTTATGGCATATTTCAATACATGTATAGAATGTATAATGATCAAATCAATGTTATTAGCATATCTATCACCTCGTTTGTCATTTGTGTTGATCATTTATCATTTCTTTATGTTTTGAACTTTCAAAAATCTGCTGTTCTAGTTATTTGAAAATAAATTATTATGAATTATAGTCACCCTTAGTACTGTGGAACATTAGAACTTGTTCCCTTCATCTTACTGTACTTTTGTATCTGTTAACCAACCTTTCACCCTCCATTCTCCCTCCTGCTTTTCCCTTTTAGTAATTGCTATGCCATGCTGCTTCTGCTTTTCTTTTTTCTTTTTTTTTTTTTTAAGAGAGCATAGTGGCACAATCCTGGCTCACTGCAGCCTCCGCCTCCCAGGTTCAAGCAATTCTCCTGCCTTAATCTCCTGAGTAGCTGGGATTACAGGCACACACTACCACACCTGGCTAATTGTATTTTAAGTAGAGACGGGGTTTCACCATGTTGGTCAGGCTAGTCTTGAACTCCCAACCTTAAGTGATCCACCTGCCTTAGCCTCCCAAAGTGCTGGTATTACAGGCATAAGCCACTGTGGCTGGCCAATGCTATGCTGCTTCTATGATGTCAATTTTTTAGCTTTCACATATGAGTGAGAACATGTATTATCTTTCTGGGCCTGACTTTACATCACTCAACATCATGTTCTCCAAAGCTTATTTCTATCTTGCTATAAATCACAGAATTTTGTTATTTTTTATGGTTAGTGTTCCTTTGTGTATGTATGCCACATTTTCTTTACCATTTTCTATTGATGAACACTCAGGTTGATTCCACATGTTAGCTACTGCAAATAGTACTATAATAAATAGAGGAGTGCAGACAGGAGTTCAACACACGGGTTCCTTCCTTTCCTTTGGATATATAGCTAGTAGTGGGATTACTTGACCACTTGAATCTTAATCCGCATAAGAGAATCTACACTGGAGAAAAACCATGGAAGTGTGGACAGTGCGGTGTATGTTTCAGTCAGGCGTCACATCTTCAAATTCAGTGTCTATTCAGTAGAGAAACCTTAATGATGTGATGTATGTGACACTCTTTCCTTCGCCTTAACAACTATAATCTCATATGAGAGCTCACATGAAAGAGAAACATTTAAAATGACTAAATGTGTGGCCAGGTGCCATGGCTCACGCCTGTAATCCCAACACTTTGGGAGGCCAGGGCGGGCAGATCACTTGAGGTCAGGAGTTTCCAACATAATGAAGTTAGATCTGCACTTCACACTATACTTAAAAATTAACTCAGAATGATCAATGACCTAAACATAAGAGCTTAAACTATATAACTCAGAATAAAACATAGAGGTTAATCTTCAAGACTTTTTATTTGAAATAGATTCTTAGATAAGACACCATATGCACAAACAAAGCCCATATAAATTGGACTAGAGTAAAAAAAAATGCTATGCATAAATAGACATTGTCATGAGCATGAAAAGACCATACAGCGTGGCTTCTAGAATCAGAATATATAAAGAACTCGTAGACCAGGTGAGGTGGCTCTCACAATCCCAGCATTCTGGAAGGCTGAGGTGGGTAGATTATTTGAGCCCAGGAGTTTGAGACCTGCCTGGGCAATATGGCAAAAACCATGTCTCTACTTAATAAATAAGTAAGTAAGTAAGCCAGGCATAGTGCCTGTGGTCCCAGCTACTCGGGAGGCTGAAGCAGAAGGATCGCTTGAGCCCAGGGGGTCAAGGCTGCAGTTGCATGTGATTGCACCATTAAAGAACTCCTACAACTCAGTAACAAGAAGAGAAACCACCCAATTTTCTAATGAGCAAAGATACAAATAGAAATTTCAGATATACAAGTTACCAACAATTGTGAAAAGATGCTCATCTATTAGTTGTTAGGAAAATGCAAATCAAAACATAATGAGATACCATTTTACAACAGCTATCTTTTTTTT